CTGACGAATTTGTGGATGATTTCCCATCAGATGTCTGCAATGCAGACGGCTAAATTATGCAAGGGAATCTGCAGCTGCTGTAGTTTATGCCCTCGTGCAGTGGTAAAAGAGCTGTAAGCTGCCTCGTGTCAGGCTGTAGAGTTACTCTTATATACTGTATAAGAAATCTTTTGTGTAGTAAAAACTTATGGCAGTGGAGAATAGACTGGTGTTCTCACACAAGTGATGAGAGGGCTGGGGCTTGCGTGTCCTTGCTCTGGCTCTGAGGATTAGCATCTCCCCACCACATTCTTGCTTTTATACACACAGGTGTTTGGGTTCCGAGTTAAAAACAGGGTGCATGTAAGGGCTCTGCTGCGTTGAGAGGTCACTGCTCCTCTGGGACTAGGAATGGAGAAATCAAAGGGATTTCCTCTGGAGTTATTTACTTAGAGAGTGAAGGTGCATCTGATTTTTTTTTTTTGAGATAATTTTTCCTTGGAGTTGTCAGTAAGTCCTCTCTGAACGTAGCCTGAACTGCCGGTGACCCACCTGCAGGACACGTGTTCTGCTTCAAATTTCTTTTCTCATCAGGCCAATGGAAATGTTTTTGGTATGCGGCTATAAATGTGCGTGGAGATGGCACGATACAATAAATAGCTGGTGCACGATAACAGTACCCAAGCAGGCTGTCGATAGCAGACATTTAATGATTCTTTGAAATCTTTATTTGCAATTTAATTTGTCTCTGGGGTTCTTCATGTCAGAAATTCCTTATCCACAGTTGCCGGGATGCTGGTGTTTATCTCTTGCCTGTCACATACATTTCAGATCGTCAGACAACGTTGTGTTAAAATGAGAGGACATGACCAAAAGCACAGTGTTTATTTGTATAGCTATAATAACCCGAAACGAGCAAGCAATACATGACAGAGGCAGAGTTTTACGTTTCGAGGACAGCACTAAGACAGCTTTTGCAGGAGCTTAGCTGGGGGTGCTTGGCTGCTCCTCTGCAGGCAAAACTTGGTTTTAGCAGCGGAAGTGTTTGAGTTGATTCCCTTCTGAAAATGTCTGGAGCAGCTGCGCTCAGTTGTGAGTCTCTGCTGCAATGCCAAACGGGCTGCTACAAACAAACACATGTGCTTAGGGGAAAAAAAGGTTGCTCAGTGCACTCAGTGGCCATCCCTTTGCTGGTGTGCTGCTCGCCCTTGCGCATTAGCCTTGCTCTGTCCACACTTGGCCTTTCCATCTGCAATGGACAAAGTGCTGGTGAGTGCTGTCCTCTGCCCTGCGGTGGCTTTCTGGAGGGAGCTGTGTGTGGAGACCCCAGCCCCCATCCTCCTGGGTGCAGCTGAGCTGTGGGATGGTAACTGCACTGAGGGAAGGAGCTATTTATCTGCCTGACTATGCAGTGCAAATGAGAAGATTGATTATAAATAAACTGGGAAAACAGAATTCTTACTTCATTTAGGCAGCTCTTTTAACCAGCTAGCGAGAGCCTGGCTTGTACTGCAAGTCCTAGTGCCGATTTGTAGGCTTTGACTTGTTCATCCTCTTGTATTACTCTTCCTTTAGTCTTACTCTGTGTGGTCTTTCCTTTTTAAGCAACTTGGACCCTGCAGCCTGGGTCTCCTGTTGTGCAGGTGGAGCCAGGCAGGTGTTTAGGGGACAGGTGAGGTGTCCAGGACCTACAGGCACCCAGGGTTGGTGTCTGCTGCAGGACAGAGGGTAACTGATTTGTACTCCCCTGTCCTCTGACAGAGCAGAAGGAGGCTGTGGGGGTCCTCCTGTGCCTCCAGGTCCCTGCTGTCCCTTCAGCGTTCCCACCAGCAGAGGTTCAGAAGAGGCTGCAGGGCGTCCTTGTGTTGGCTCTGACTTTCCCCATCTCACCTGGGACTGAATGAGTTCCTTCCCTCGCTTCGTCTCTCAGGTTTAATGTCAGTATACACTTGACAGAACAGTGCATCTTTTAAGAGCACATCTGTCAAAGGTGCCCACTACAAAGCTGGGGCTTCCTTCCACAATCCCAGCTGACCTTATGCAGCACTTCGGAGCATCTGGGCTGAGAGCCCATAGGGTTGTTATTTTCTCATTCGTTTTATGAACAGAGAATCTCTAAAACTAGAGAAGTTTAACGCAGAGGGATACAGCTGCTGCGGAACAACATAATGTGGCAATCAAAAGAGAGGCAGTGACCTTGGTATTAATTTAAATGACTTTTTCATTGGCCTTGAGAATTTAATGGCAATCCTCACAGGATTATTGAAAGGTAGGATAAATAATCATAAGAGAGATGAATTGATTTGCAGCGTGTAGATCTGACTTCTGACTCGTCTCTCCCCCTCTCTGCCATGGTAGGCAGAAGCAGGCTGTGGCACGCAATAGCAAAATTCTCATAAAGATGGCCAGATAAACATCGTTTATCGTGGGAGAAGCTCTTGAGATTTGTTGTCCCTGTTTCAGATTCAGTTTAACGCGCTGGCTTTTTTTCCAGGCTGACATATCATGCTGTCCTCTGCCAGGGGTAGAACAAGCATTGCATGATAAAGATTTGAGGACTTCACTTTGCATTTAAGTGCCTTTAAAGACCTGATCCTGCCTTCCCTTTATTTTAAGCATGAGTTAGCAAGCTCTATGGAAGTCTGTAGTGCTGTATCTGTGTGATGTTTGTGAAAGAACCCAGAACGCTGGCATTTCCTAGTCTGAATATCCTTCCCCAAAATTATACTTCCATGAATTTCAGATGCTTTAGATTTATTTTTTTTATTTCCTGAGCAAAGTATGCTTAGCTCATTTCTTCTTTTCTCTGCACAGGTATGTGGAGACTCAGGTTGTTTGATGCTTTTGGTTGATCAGATCTAATATTAATAACTGGGGAATATAGTGTAGATGGTGTGTAGATACAGTATCTCGCGCACAGTATGAAGTTTGCTCAGGCTGGAGGACACGCAGTGTAAAGCCTGCCAAGGTGAACTTACCTCTGCAGAAAAGTCTTTTTTCGAACAAATTTGAGCTAGCTAATTCAGTGAAGCTCCCAGGTATCTGAGCTGTGATTCGAGATGCCCTTTACTTAGAAGTGAAGAAGAGCACAAAACGAATAAAGTTCCTGCTCCTAAAAGGAGAAATAAATCAATTCAGGCAGGTGTCAAAGGGAACTGTCAGCCCATTCCAGAAAGCCATATGCCTGCAAGTTTTCTGTGGGTGGCAAATAAATCATATTGCCAGCCTCTTTTGTGCCTTTAACCAAGGCGAGCAGTGCTGAGACAGTAACTCTTCCTCAGCCTTTTTCAGCTCCTTCCTGAATTCACCTCTGAAGCTCTTGCCTCAGGTTCCCAGTTCGGTCACACGTGCTCTCACTGAGAACCAAAAAAACAAAAAGCAAAACCAAAAAGCAAAACTTCATCCTGCAGCTGAGACCCCTTTTTGGCTGCTTCTACCACAATAAAACATTGGCTTTGCTCAAAAGAAGTATGCGAGGCTGTTAATGCAGCGATCACTGTGCAGACAGCTAGGCAGCGGGGACTGGAGCTGGTGGTTGAGCTGGAGTTTGCTGTGGGATCAACAGTTCGGGTGTTCGCGTAATTCTCAGGTGGGATTTGGACACCCCTCAAATTTGTCTGCCCTGAGCTGTGGTCACAACCACAGTCCTGCTATAAGCATGCCCGGCAAGCTCGGAGCTCTGCAGAGGCCTCTGCTTGCTCGGGGAAGTCACCTCTGATCTGATGCCCTGTCACTTCTCGGCTGTGAGCAGTCTTTGGCTGGTTGAGTTCAGGCTCAGGTTAGTGCCTGGTGGCTTTGTCAGTTGTCCCGTTAGTGGGGATCAGAGCAGTTCCAATTTTCATCCTGGCTTGATTTTCTGTTAGACAATGATGTAAAAATAGTCCCAGCCCCTTTGTCTGTATGCCTCAGGAACTGCTATTGCCAAAGCCGTATTGAAACAGATTGCTCGCTGGATTTTCTGTTACAACTTTCAAAAGCTCAGCAAAGTCTGGGCTTTCAAGTGCCCATTCCAGCAATAACAGCTGAAGAAAGAAAAGCAGGCTGCTGCTGCAACCAGGAGGAAAAAGCACAGCGAGGGCTTGCAGAGAAGGTTGGATTGTGGTGGGGCCAGAAAACTCAGCGCCTGTTGGGCCACGCAGCGAGCCTGGTTCCAGCTCTGTGTGTTTGAAATCAACACACCAGGGCTGGGTGTTGATCCTGGCTGTTGATCCTTGGGCCGGGACTGCGGGGCAAGGAGGGGGCTGTCCCCAAGGCACAGCATCCCCCTGCATCACAGCAGGGCCCTCACCTGGTCCCAAAAGCTCAGCTTGCCTGAAAGCAAATGGTGAAAGCGTTTTCGTTTGCACCCAAATAATTTATTTTAAATCTGTTTTTCTCGTGCACTCATTTATTTTACTTTATTGTAATGTCAGCACTCGGCAGTGAAGTAATGGCAGATCTCTCAGGAGAACTTGCACGAGCGAGAAAGCACCATTATCTTGGTTTTACAGGCCCTGCTTATGTTGAGAACATATGTGGTGGTGTAATTATGCTGATGTGATTAAATCAGTGCAAATCCTTGCTGGAGGGACACGCCGCACCGCTGTAAAGCGTAGCTTATTATCAGCGCAGTTTAGTTCAAATTACACGACTCAATTAAGCTGTGCTCGTAGAAACCTCGGCTTAAAGTCAGGAAGTCACGTGAGGGTCTGTGTTGGATTTTTACTGCAGATAAAGATTTGGAAACTGAAATGGGTGAGGCCGTGCCTCACCCAAGAGCATACTAGAATCAATGGGCTTGACAACTACTGCCCGTAGTACTTCCTGAGAGGGAAGTGAGCTGGGTGAAGATTTCTTTCTTCAAAGTGTAGTGACCACTTTGGAAAATGTCCTAAATCATTGTAAGGCTTTGCAAATAAAGTAAGTAAAATGCATACTAAATTCTAGTAAATCTCTACCACATGGTTTTGGATTTTGGTAAGGCTGGATGGGTCAACGAATAACCATGGTGTGTACGAATTAACTGGATTTTTTTTTGGCAGGGTGTGGGCACTGTAAGAAAATGAAGCCAGAATATGAGAAGGCTGCAGAGTTTCTCCACGCAGCCAGTGATGTAAGTTAATTTCCTTTATTATATCCTTCTAATAATCAGTAATAAATAACTGGAGTAATAAGTGACTTTTATCCCTACAACAAATTCAGCTGTTCTCATCCTCCCACAGGACCCTTCAAAATGTGCTTCCAAAGTACAGTCTCATCGCTAATGCATGAACCCTGCCAAAGTCTTAGAAAGAACATTCTGTCTTGAACGAAAACAAAATCGAAAAATGTTTATGTATTCTGCTGCAGGCCTTATACGTAATATGATCAAATCCAAAATGGATTTTTTTTTTTGCCTTATTTAAAGGCACTGAATGTGAAGAAACACAGACTTTTATTTATGAATTAGATTTGGGGGAAAAAAAAGGGGGTTGATCCCTCTTTCAAGTATCTTGCTTTTATGGTTGCATCATTCCATTAGCATCATCTTAAGTGCTCCATCAACATGGAGCTGGAGAGGAGAGACCTGATAATACAAGTATTAGTATTAGTGCTATTGATTCAGTCCTGCTCTCTGTACGCCATGCAAGAATAGAAGCAGGATTAATCTCCCCAAACTCAAGACATCTTCAGTAGAGACATCGAGTCCCTTTATAACTATAAAGGTGGAGGAGAGGGGGATGTGCAAAACAGGTGAATCACATCCTACAAGTGATGGTAAAAGTGGTCCATGTGTAGATGCCCATGAGGTAGGGAAAAATGAATTTGCCTTAAAGTAAATTTGTCTTTAACAATGCCTATTTGCCTTGGGAGGAATGGACTTGTGGGAGGAAATGCCGTTTCTGGGAGCAGCTCTTAAGCATTACAAAGCATTGTCTACAGGGAATCTTCCTCAGAAAGGGGAGGAGAATGGGTAATATGCTGGTTACATTTAGTCCTTAAGATATCGCTTCCTGTTTTTGCATCGGGCCTGTGTATCTGTACTGAGAACCTGAGAAAGCAGAGGCACCTAAGTCATGAGTAATTAATATCCCCAAAGTCCACTGCTTCTTGCCAGAGGTGTGGGTACATGTTCTTGTGATTTACAGTCAGTATTTTCTGTTTTAGAGTCCAGGTGTCCTTGCAGCAGTAGATGCTACCGTCAACAAGGCACTGGCAGAAAGGTACCACATCTCAGGCTTTCCTACTCTGAAGTATTTTAAGGATGGAGAGGAGAAATACACCCTGCCACACCTCAGAACGAAAAAGAAGATCATCGATTGGCTCCAAAAGTAAGTTTTGAGGGTCTGAGATAGTATTCACATTCCTGGCTGCTGTTTCCTGAAGACTGCTTTGTGAGGAAGTAAATCCTAAAACCTAGCTTTATCAGCTGCCTAAATCCCTTGCTAACAAAAACAAATTGAATTCCAGTATTCAAAGCCATACAAACGTGTATGTTAATTATGGTCTCTAATACACCAAATCCTTTATTTGCTGCGGGGTTTTTCGTAGTTGTCCTGGTAATTCTTTCCCAAAATAAATATTTTTCAAATGCATGCTAAGCCTCTCTCCGGAGAAGGAATAGCAATGGCTCTGAAAAATAAACAGAACATTTGTTGTTCCCTCTTCATACTAAGCAGCAGATTTCACTGTAAGTAACTGAATTTCTGTAGTTGTACTTTTCTCCTTCCAGCATTTCAGAGCCAATGCCTAGACTACCTGCTACATGGGGCTGAAAGAAAGGCACCCAGACCAACTGAAACAGCACCTTTGTCTGCACTTCCCTGCTTTCCTTGGGTGGTGCGCTAAAATATGCAGAATTTGATGTACAATGAAAATAATTTCATTTCAAAGAAGAAAATTGCTGGTACAACTCTCTCTAAATATTTAGGAGTAAAATACGTATTTCTTTTAAGTACTGTAAGCCAAATATAGTTTCTGCACTATTCACTGGAAAAAAAGCAGTGTCTGTCTTTTGTGAGGTCATTTAATCATTAAGTGCAGATGGCATGAGGAATGCAAGCCTAATTTTTCCAACTCCTGTTGGGGGGGGGGGAAGGGATTGTATCTGAGTGCTTCAAATCAAATAGTAAGTTTGGCCTGTTAGCATCTTTGTCACATGTTGGGAAGTTTTATCTGTATCCTACTTTTACACACAGCACTCCCTTGGCCTCCTTGCTTACTCAGCTTCAAGTTGCTGTGTCAGTAGTGGATGTTAAATCGCTGTCCTAGTTCCACCAGCTTGCTGGGGTATTTTGAAAACTGTGTCATTTTAATTGGGTTAAACACTCAGGTTGACACTGCCTATTCGTATTGGCAGTGGAATAAGCAGGGAGGAAGAGGTGGTTCATCCCTTCCAGATCCGCCTGTGCCTCTGTAAGATTTCTGCCTACTGCCTTTGGTAGCCAGTAACACGGGGGCACAGACTTCTTGTCCCCTAGCCTGACTGCTAGATGCTCTCCCAGCTTGAAGTGCAATGGTGTAAGATGCTTGTTTGCTGACTTGAGATAAAATAGCAACAGCTCCACTGAAGCTGATGGAAATAGGCATGTATGTAGGGTGCAGGCTGGAGATAAAATTTCAGCTTGTGAAAACCTATCCCAGTGAGTGGTCTAGTTGCAGCAGCACGAGTTGCAGCTCTGTTGCCTGGTTTGTTTGTGCTGTCGTCTGTGCTGCCACATGATAGTGTTACCAGTATCTGGGTAGCTTATTCCAGGTCAGCATGAGGAGGTCTGTGTGAGATGAACTCGCACCTCTGGCTGTAACTGTAATCGATGATAGCTCACACTGACTGTGTGCGTGTGAAAATTCAGATCAGCTGCCCTAATTCTATCTCTAACAACTGGCAAATCGATATCGATGGAAATATGATGGATATCCACCAACTGACCTTGAGAAGAACTTTAAAAATTTAGATTTTCTTCACTTAGTTTTTATGTACCTGATACAACTTAAAATGTGTCATTCAAAGTGACAGGAAAGTCTGAAAAGCTAATTTATTACCAAGGCGACATATGAAGGTCTTTATACCATGGCTCCATTCTGATGATTTTATATAAGTAATCACTATTTAAGATACAGCAGGAATGAATTTAATGAGTCTGAGAGAAGTCTGTGAGCTGGTGAATAGCAGAAGTTTTGTTAGAGGTGCTCTGGATGTGCAGGATTGCTCTGATCTAGTCAGTATGTGCAGTCATAATTGAAACCTGACATTCTCTTTATCAAGGTAAAATATTCCAGTTCAGTCACCCCCAGTCTTCCAAGTGGAATGATGCTGATTATTGCATCCTGGCTTTAATATCTGAATTCAAGAGAAGGTCATGAAATTCTTTATAGAGGTTTGTGTGATGGCAATAAAGAGTACAAAAAGGATGTTTGAATGGAAGACGCTGTCCTATATTGGTTGCCTTTTGATTCCACCTGCTTGCTGTTCTCAATTCATGCCTACGGATGACATGGTGATATTAGAAGCAATGTTCTTTTTAGCCAGATGTTGGATGTAATGTAGGAGATCTTTGTTCTGCATTCCTATTCATATGCTTCAGTGAGATCGTTTAAATTATATTTTTACTGAGTTTTAGAAATTAACGCACATTTTTGTTATCACCTGGTGTCGGAAATATTGAGCGTGTTTTCTTACTGCCCAGGCACCCTGATGGATTGCTCCTCCTCGGTTCCCTCAGAGTACTAAGCAGGATGTGATGGCCTTTTGCATATGCTTCCAGAAACATTCTGAGACTAATCTCATTCCATTCCTTTTCTAGTCCTGAAGCACCACCTCCACCTGAGCCTGCATGGGAAGAAAAACAGACTAGTGTTATCCATCTTGCTGGAGAAGACTTCAGGGAGTCCTTGAAGAAGAAGAAGCACACCCTTGTCATGTTCTACGCACCATGTGAGTAAACAACACTCCATGTGCTTGAGTTTTATAAACCCTACAGTTTACGAACTCCTAAATTAATTCCTTCACTGTCCTCAGGTTTTGTGAGGGTAAAGAACTGATTCCAAATGTAACTGCATGGGGCACTATTGTACATGTCTCTGTAAACTGGAAACAAAACAGTATGCAGTGTTTATTTAAAGAGTTACTGTGTTAATGCAGACAAAGCAGGCAGGGGAACAAAAAGAAAACAGATTTATTTTTCCTCTGCTGTATTTTATGGTCCGCATAACAAAATGTGATCTGTTATAGCAGGACAATGAGCACAGAGAGCCTGGCCCATTATTGCAGCACTTCAGTAGTGAAATTGATATAGTGGTGTAGGAGGAATCACCCCCCAGAGGAAGAGAACAAATTTTGATGGAATAAATTTTGTCCATAATAAGTCTACATTTAAATCGCTACTTAGAATATGGACATTCACCTTTCCAGGTTGTTTTGCATGCATCACACGCGTGCTTGCTTTCTGAAGCTCCTAACAGTATTTCTAGCAAACTTTTGAATCAGGCCCTTTGTAAGTTAGGTGAATGAAATAAAAATTCTACACTTGTACTCCTCCCCATTCATATTAGACGGCTTCTGTAGGCACATGCCATTTCTGGACACCATTTGTCTTTAGATATGCCTGTGATTCTCATGGTATTGCTGCAGCTAGCAGACTCACCTCTTCCAGCTTCCTCTATTGTTGCAGAGTTGGTACAGGTGATGAACTTTTAAGGGTTTGCCAAAGAGAGAAGATAGTCCTGGCACTCCGTATCAGGTAGTATTAATTTGCTTTTATAGCACAGTGACTCAGCTCTGCAGTGTGCAAGAAAAATTCTTCCCCATCAGATGGCCAGCCCTGCAATTCACATATAACCTTCAGATAAGCATTTACCAACTTGTTCCCACAGAACTGAAGGTATTTTCCAGAAAGGGAAAAAAAGCTCAGGTCCTTTATTTTGCTTTTTTTTGTTAGAAAATTAGACAGGATGCTTTGGGGCTCTTGCAAAGCCCTGATGGATGTGTGTGTGGAGAGAAGGGAGGGGTAGAATTCAGAGGGGAGATTTCTGGAAGATGGTAAAAGGAAAGGAAGAGGGACTTAATCCTTTCTCAACTCCAGTTCCTACCATCTATTGACTAGAACTTGCTCGTGTGCTGGGAATTTGTGATTCATGGATCTCAACTGGTTAAGAGTGAATTATAACTTTAAAATCAAATGATTGCATGTGAAATGGTGAGATTTAGGAGTTTGCCATCGTGGCTTTCTGTGGAAGAGAGAGCTCTTCTCTTTTATTTTTAAGTTGCTTTTCTTTAAGGCACTTAAGTTCTTAGTCTTTTTTAAGTACGTGTTTAGACCAAAGACAGTACGTGCAAAGAGTACATAGCTCTCAGAGCTGAAAGGACAAGACAACTCGCCTGATGGGTGAATTATGACACTGCTGTTTGCAGGCTGTGGTGAGCAAAGGTCAGCCTGTCCATGCCTGCAGGAATGGGCTGTAAAAGCAAAGTCTGCATGATGCAAGACCGGTCCTTTGAGGCTGCCTTCACACACGTTCTTCTTGCACTGTTTCGGACATGGTGCTGAATGAGACTACCTGTATACAAGATGGAGCAGAGTTAACTGAAACCACTTCTAGACTTAGCACAACCCTTAAGCCAGCATTGCTGTGGCATTGTCAGTATGTGGGTCACGCGTAGCTTCTGATTTGGTGGACGTGTCCTCAGTAAACGTGGAAGCTGCCTGCGTGCAAAATAGAAAGCGCCCACACAAATGGAGTGCAACAAGCCTGCCCTTTGGTGGGTGCAGAGGGAAGTAACAGATGAGTATTTTAAATCCGTTTTCTGTGAAATAATTATTAATGCAATAGAACAGTACAAATCATTCTATTTTTCTGATTTTCTACAGTGATAATGTGCTAAATTTGATAGATTAGGTTTTGTTTACCGTTTTCTCAATCTCGAGACCTCTTGGAGCTTACATTGCCAATTAGTCTTAACTTGCTTATTTTAGTGCAGAAGGAGCCCTGCTAAAATTGCCAGGCCACATTAAATCAAATAATTTTCTTTTTCTATTCAGATCCACATCTCGGGTCAGTGCCGACTCACAGTATGTTACTCCATTCACTTGTGACTCGGTGGCAGTATTTGTTACACTTACACATATGCTGGGATATTTTAAGGCTGGGGGTGTGTGTATACATGCATATATAAAGTATGTTTATATATAAATATTTATACTAAGAAATGTATCTCTCATCTGTCATTAGAATTTAAAGCAGAAAGTTGAATATTCTAACCTTTGTAAAGCTTTCAGCTGGAGTGACAAACCTTTAGGCAAAGGCCACAGATATATATCTTACATGCAAATTAAAATGAGATCTGGCTTTTCTGTGGCAACTTCTCGTGCAAATTACTTAATATGTATAGGAGAGCCATCAATCTGCTGCTCTATAGATAACTCTGGACTGAGCTGAACGATGCTTTAATGGTGCTGAGCAGTGCTTCACAGTGATTTAGCTCTGGAAACAACGACTGCTACATCCACATGGAAAAGATGGGGAGCTCATTACCCATTTTCAGGGTGATGGAGTAAAGCATAAAGGTTATTCCTGGTGCCTGTGGAATATTTTAAGGACTAAGAATGTGAATCAAAACTCTTCAAAGTACTGGGGAAGAAAAATCTACTTCTGTGAACCTGATACTTGCAAAGAATGATGTCTGTGCTTTCACACTCCTATTCCTCCCCAGCGGCGTTCCTGTGCACTGCAGAGACCCATTAGGGGTGGGAGGCAGTTGTAAGGGCAGGTCTTCATCACTACCTGGGGACAGCAGTGCTGGCTGGAGAAAAGCTAATGCTGCTTGTAACCGTCTTGTGCCTGATCTTCATCCTGCTGTCCACTGGGTAGGTCTGTACCCTCCGTGGCCACCACACCATGCAGCCTTGAGGGCTGGCACTTCGAGTGGGCTGCTGGCATCTGTGCTGCGTAGCACCTGGCCCAGCTCTTCTGTGGGCTCTTGTGCAGGTCCTTGTGGACCTAAGATTTAATTGTCATTGCATCTCCCCTTATTGAGTTCAAAACCTCTGAAATAGGAGGAAGGCAATGACATAACCTGCTGAAGTGAAGCGTGATGCAATAGATGTGTGTTATGTCCAGGAGGCTGGCATGAAGGGTTTGAGGAGCATTTAAAAGCAGTAGGCTTGTTGCATGAGCATTGCAGAGATGTTTAGGGAGGCCTTATGGGATCTGTGTCTATTTTGTCTCTATAGACCAGCCCTCAAGAGTACTGGGTACCACTGGCTAGTCCAGGTTTCCTTTTGTAACCGGTTAGCTTGGTTCAGAAATGGGGAGAGGAGACAACTAGTCTGAGTGTGGTTTGGTGTGCACACAGTATGTGGATGATTAGGATTTGGGGGGTGTGGACCAAATCAGGATCTGAGCCAAACTGACAAGAGTAGATCCAGCCTAGCTCAGCAGACACCCAGAAAGACACTAGCTGCGTGTCTGTGCTTTGTGCCCAGAGCTGCTTTCAAGAGTTGCACCAATAATTGCCTAGTGTTTTAGACTGACCAGTTTGGATCAGTGTTGTTTCTGGGATTGCTTTTCGTCGGGGACATCTCTTCATATGTCCTCATTTTTTGTTTGTATAGCTTATCAGAATGTGTTTTATCTGCATTTTTTACTTTTATGTGAGCTCTCTCTACTCTGTTACCCTGGATAATTGAGATTTGACTTTGCCAATGCATTAAATTTTAACCTCCTCCTACTATAGCACTGAAAATGGTGCAAAATAGAAGCAGTTGGTTGTTGATTAGTTGTCAGAGTCACAAAGGGCAATGAAGTTCCAGTAAATAAAGTGTCTTCTCAGTTGGAGATGTTTTTGCTGCATGACTCAAACTGAATTAGCAAAAAAAAATGTGACAATCTTGAAGATTGAGTGAAGCTAGGTGAGCATAGTGCAGTGAAACAGGAGCACACAGATTGTTCTTCGGGAAGGCACTGTGAATTTAACACAAACTTTTGTCTGGAAAAGCCTTTGCAGTCCTACATGAAATTTCTTGCCAAGCAGACCCGTACCAAATTATTGAGCATCACGTTCTCTAAGCAAACCTTGCGTGGTTCTCTCTTGCTCTTTGCTCACCTCATTTTTTTCAGGATTTAATGTGCCTCTCTGTTGCAATAATCTGGGGATGTGACCATCAAGCTGGTAGCTTTTCTTGAATGATGTTCCTTCAAACTTAGGTTAGGTCTTTACTTCCCATGTACTTCTGATTATCTCTAAACAGGCAAGGCTCATTACGCACACCTCCCAGCCCAATTCTTGCACAAAAGCAGTAGCTGTCCAGTGGTGGCTTTTAAGAATTAGAGACCGGCACATGCAAACATGCTCCTCTTGTTCAGTGGTTGAGATAGTTGCTTCCAAAAAGACTACAAATGAATCAACCGCCTCAGAAGCAGGAGCTGTATATAATAAAGCATCAATAACATCCAAATGATGGGGAAGACAGAGAGAGGGGGGGGGAGGTTGTTTTTATTTATTTTTATTTTTTAAGATCATCCTTTTTTAAGGGGAAGTGCTTGGTGCTGAGCAGATTGATTCCATTCCTAATTTTTTAAAAGCCACAAGGTAAGTGTTCTTAAACAAAACAAAGAAGACTTTTGGCAGCAAAGAGAAATAATAGGGGAAAAACGCTCCCTTTTAATAGCTTGTAAGGGCAGCAGTTGCCAATGTTATTAACTTGCCAAATGGCCTCAATTTGTGGGACTCAACAGGGTTCACGGAATGAATATTTTTAATAAATACTTTGCTGGGAGCTGGTTTCCGGTTTTGCTTCTTTGTTCAGTGGCAAAACTTTTCCTTCACTGGAAATTACTTTTGTCAGCGGGAAAAGGTTATTCTCTGGTGAAGCCTGACCCACAGGGGTTACGCAAAGAACACCTCCAAATAAACCTTGCCGAGGATGATTTTAATGA